CTCTTCCCCAGTACATAGGCAAAATTGCACAGAGTTGCGCCTGCTTATATATGGGGGTTGTGCAGAATTACTTTGCCTGGGGACCCCCGAATCGCCGGCCAATCGCGATCCAATCGCGGTCCCACAGGTTCGAGTCGCGGAGCAACGTTGGTCACTTTTCGCTGTCAAGCGCTGGCCTTCCTCCATCCATACCTGGAAACTGGAAGGAACTGACATAGCTCGGATGGGCAGGGCCTCACTGGTGAAATTCGTCCAATCGCCGTCCAATCACCGTCCAACCGCGGTCCAATCGCGGAATTGTGGCGGCGAAACTTTGGTTTGCAGCTTCCAGCCTTTGCCAGTAAGCCGATTTAGACAGCACAGCCTGGGCCTGCGCAGGCGAAATCACCATACAGCTTTCCAGGAGGAACTTTTGCGCGAGCCCGTGCAGTCAAAATGAGCGAGACGTGCGTCGGCAGGACAATCTATAAACACCACGCAGCGTCTAAATTCACAATAATTTCGTTCTTTCGCGGTCCAATCGCCGGCCTTTCGCGGCTCGAGTTCTCCCATTCGCGCTGTTCAACAAGTTGCCGCTGTTCATAAGGTTTAGACACGCAATTGCGCACGGCCTCCATATATATATATATATACATGGGTCACAAACATGTACAAAGTCCCGCTGTTGGAAATCGGACATACGTTCCGTTGCCGATTCCAGTTCTGCCTGAAAGCGGTGCTTGACTGGCCTTTGCAATAGCTGCAAACATCTACACAGTTGACACTAAGACTTAGTTGCAAAGCAAAGCACTCATATTTGCATGCGCACATACAGCATTGCAACGCTGATGCCAAAGGTTTTCTTGAAGCTGGCTGCCCAAGTTCAGCGAAGCTCGCCGGGCCAGTCCAGTCAGGCCTGTTCCAGCCCGCGGCGCGAGCTGAGTCAGCATGGCTTGACGGGACTGGGCTGGACTGGGCTTGGACTGGAAAAGAACCAAGCAACACACGCTTGGACGACTGGACTAACAGACTGAACCAAGCCAAGCTAGGAAAGCTGAGCTAAGCTGCAAGCTTGGCTGGGCTGGGCTGGACTGTGCTGCTGCGCTGGCCTGAGCTGAGTTGGACTGCGTTGAGCTAGCCTTGCTGGCGGCTTAGCTCAGCCACCAGCGTCTAGCCAAGTCCAGTCCAATTCAGCGCTCCTTTATCCCAGCTCAGGCAATAGCCCAGTGCAGTCCAGCCCAATTTCGTCCAGTTTAGCACGCAGCACCACTTGGTCCCTTGGCTCCCTGACTCCCACCTATGAATCGACACTTGACCAGCTCTGTTGCTTGCTGCAACAGACGGTGCATGCTGGGCCGGGCCGAGGCGGCCAACGCGAAGCGTTTAACACTTGAAACGCTGTGCAGCCATTCAAACGCTCCCGGATTTCCTTTGGAGCAAACAAAACTGGCGCAAGCATCCGAGTTTTGCCGTGGCTTCAAGTCTGTGCCTCTGTGACTAAGGAGTGCACCGGCGTTTTGGGATTCTTCAATGCATCTGCGATAGGGACTCCCTTGTCCTGAAGCAACAATCCAGCACAGGACAAGGTTGGGTCCACAAACAGCAGCCCAATGTTGAAGGCTCTTGCCCGGTTGCAGGAAATGCCACTCTAGGGTGTTTTGGATGCCCCACCTGTGGATCCACCTAAGGATGCGACACATCGGCTACCAGGATCAACTGTTCTCTAGTGGCAAGCAAAAAATCAAAATCATGTAGCTCCTTCTCACTGCGCGAGAGTAGGCCAATTGTATTGAAGCCCTCCCACGACAGGTTGGGACCTCAAGTTCTTGACTTGCAAAGCTGCAGTCTGGCAGTGTGCATAGCCACAACGAGCCACAACCATGCCTGCCAAGTCACTACCGTTGGGTAAGATTGAGCCCACGCTGCCCATGGCAGCACCACGCAGAAGCAGTGACAGCAACTCCGTACTGCAAAGCCAGCAATCAAAATTCCTGGGAAGTGTCTTAGAGCTCTATCTATGTCACCGAAGACTGTTGATACATGGCTTTAGCGCCTCTGGCGTCTGTATCTAACGGATTGGTTGGGCAAGCAGGAACGATGCGAGACGGTACTTCTGCTGCAAGCGCGTTGCCTATTTGTCCAAGGTGCTTTGGTACAAGGGGCAGCTCGCCTCCCTCCATCAACGCTTCCTCCTTGACCTTGTCCACACCTGCTGTAAACTTGCACCGCCTATTCTCCTTGAACTGCATGAACTGTCTTACACTACAGTTGACTCAAAGCAACGGCGATCAAGAGCAATCCACCCACGTGCAGACTTCGCAAGTGACAACCAGTAAGACCCTGAGAAGTCTGCATGCCAGCGAAGCCAGAAGTCAGATCAACCAACCTTCTGCCAACATTGGCACTGCAGTCGGATGACCTCGGGTGAACACCGCGGAGTAGACCAAATCAATGATTCCTCCCGGACCCTGGAAATCTGCAACGCGAGCATTCACCTGAGCTGTGCTGCTATGTTTCTCCATGATACAGGAGAGATGCTCGCAGCGCTAACAAACACCCAAGCCACCGCTGAAAAACTTGCAAAAACTGAGGCCCTGGCTTCGGTCCTCACTGCTTCCTTGCCCACATCGACAATTTCCAGATCGGAGGCGGGGCCATAAGAACCTCACGGAGCAGCTCATGTCTTTCATTCAGGGCTACACGGAGCTGCTCGTGCTGCGAAAAGGAGGACCTCCACATGTGGGGTCAAATTGTCAAATGAAGGGGCAACAGTTCGCAGTGCTTAACTCAAAGCCCCGCCTTTCTGCTTTGGCCTGCAAAGCCGTATGGGCCCATCTGCACAGCATCGTAGCAGGATGTCTACAATTGCTCCGGCCACTGCGTCAGCCCTGACCTCCAGTGAGAACTTGTCCGATGCCCGAAGCAAGGCGAGACCCAAAACGAGCGGCTCTTTAAAGAATATTTCAACGTGTCATGATTCGCTGTGTCGTTTTCATGTTCCTCACGCCACTGCTTGCGTGCACCTTGCGCTTCGAATGTTGTGGCTTCCGCAATACATGGGGGCGTAACCCTTGCGTCTGGGAAAGGCGGCTTACACAACAATGTTTCCGGCAAGAGTGCAATACACAAAGTACATGTTCGCAGCTCCAGCTCGAAAATCTCAACTTTTCAGTACAAGTGAAGTACACCACGTACACAAGAAAATACATGGCTTCAGACATGGCCATTAACAAATTAAATGATACTTGAACAAAGCTTATGCACAATGCTTACACGCCGTGTTTACGCACAGTGATCCCTCAACATCTGCCGACGCCACCTTACACCCGTATGGGTTCGGTTCCCCAAGGGTCGATATGGCACGGCCCTTTCAAACATGTGCACCGAGATGTTCAACGTTGCTCAAGGGTGTTCTTGAAGTGCCATGCAAAACCGTGTAACCAAACCATTTTGCCTCGAGGCTTTGACAGCAGTCGCCTGAATCTGATCCATGGGATTCTTGTGCTGCTCAGCCAGAATCAGCGCGTGCACCACGGCGAGCACTCCGCAAGGCCCGTTCTTCGGCTGCGGAAAGCCTCCCGCCCAGCCTGCAAAGCAAAAACGGCTCGGTCGCTGGCGCGCAGCTCGTTGCCTGGATACCAAGATCCTGTGAAGTTAGGTTCCACCAAGCTGAAGCGTAAATATTCTTATAACCCCTTCCTAAATTGAGTGCCAACCCTGGTTCCCTTCAAAATCCCCCGATGCATTGGGGGGAATCTCTCATATCTGTCAACCTTTTGCGAACGGCGCTCCCACGTTCGCTTTCGCCTTCGCCTGGGTCCAGGCGCTGCAAACGCCAAGCCTCTGGAGGCTCCTCCGCCACGGGCCAAATCACCGCCCACCAGGGGGGCACCGCCTGGAGCCAAAGCAACAAAACGCCCGAGGCAAAAACAAGCGGACGGACTGCTTACCGGCCAGGCTTTCTGGTTTTCAGAAGTCCACGGGCACAACCCACCTGCGAATCGCTGGCTAAAGTAGAATCCTGAAAAAAACATCCAATTGTCACCCACCCGTTAAATCATTGGACTCTCCGCCTCTTTTGGCAACGTTCCACGGCTTGCTTGAAGAGCCCTCAGCGCGCCAGTTAGTCAAAACACAAAAGAGATGCTCCCCTTTCTGTCTGTAGGTTGCGATTTCATGCGTGAAGCAGCTAAAAAGCCTGAAAGAACCCTCGATGGAGCTGCGCCTCTGGAGCGGCTGGAGTGGCTGCAGCAGGCGCAGCGTCAGCCATAGGCACATCACCTCGACTTGCTATCGCTCTGATCGGCTTAAGCGATAAAGAAACATACTCGCTTGTTGGTGCAACGGCAGACTCCCAGCCTCCTTGGCTCGACAAATAGATCTCTACAGCTGTCTCGACGTTGCCACCGGCCATTTCCAGGAAAATGGCAGCCTGCATAAGTGCGGGCAGAACTCACCATTCTGAAAGTCTGAGTATTGCATGAAATGTTGTCTGCTTTTGAGACGACCAATACACCTGGGTGCAGTGCATATCCAAGGGGAAAGGGCAAACCTATAAAGCTTGGCAGCTCTTTGGTTTGACCTGAGATCCTTTGAGCCTGGATCCAAGTTGAACCTGGCGGATTTGTGTGCCCGGTATGTTTCCTTAATGAACAGTCCGGATTCTCAATCAACCGGGGGGCTTGGGTACCGAGCCGAGAGGACCTGGCCTGATCTGGTGGGGCGCCCGTGAAGTCAATGAAGGTCTGGACATCCGCCATGGCAGAAGGCTAGGAGCTACCTACGTTGAAGCCTGTCGTTGTATCAACAAGCCAACCTCAGAGTTACTGTATTTCATCAAAAGGGTTAAGACAGGTAGCCGGGAAACATCCGCAGTCATATCTATGAGTTGTCCATGGCTTGCTGCCTGGAGAAAAAGGTGAGCTGCGGGTGAAATTGCACTTAAAGCATCCGGACTTGGCAAAAAGCCGTCTGTCGAATGCCTCAAGATTGCCATGCGTGCAAACTGTGGAGGGAAGCACCTCCTTGTCAGCGCGCATAGCTGGAGAAGCAAACCCCAGTTGACTGCCGTCTCTCTGCATGACCTGCACTTCTTGGTTCCGACACTGTCCGTTGAAGCACGCACTCAAAAAGCTGTCTTTAGGTCTGAGCGCCTTGCAATTATCAAGGTTTCGCGAGGAGTGTCATAGTTTATCTGATTGGGCCTGGAGCGGCAGCTTGCTGAATCAGGTCGAGGACGCATCCAGCAATGTAGTACTAGGCAGGCAATACCTTCATGCAACAACTGCGGCGCTGACTTGTCGGTACTGAGCTTCTCGTCATTCAAGCAGCCCTCACCTCAATGTGAGGTTCACCGCAAGCTATTTGACCAGTGAAAATGAAAGAGGACATGATATCCGGCCTGCTTGTCCATCTGGCTTGGCCTGTGCAGCATCCCACACCGCTTCACATTCACCGGCACCCACCCTCTCTGCATGCTGAAAAGAAACCTCGCGACAATAGCTTGTCAATGTCATTTGCCATTTTGGGGGAAGGTCATGGTTCCTCCAAGATGCTTACATCCTTCCGAAATTATGTGCTTGCAAGGCACCCCAAAGGCTTGACTTCGTGCCAACTACGAAGGTGGACTGCCAACAAGCACAAGGTGGACAGCAAAAGCCACTGAACCCGTAATCAAACGAAACCTAAAACTACCAGAAGTATCAAGCGCACAGGGAAGCATGGAAGTGACCGGAACATGCCAAAGCAAAGCATCCAGCTGTCACATTGCGGAGGCAAATCATGCCATTTCCGTTGCGCTGCCCCTGGTCTAAAGGCAAGTTGCCAGAAAATGGTTTCGACACTCTTCAACTCCCAAGGGAGGATGCTAATCGTTCGAGTACAACTGATGAGTCTCGAGTACAACTGATAAGTCTCGAGTAAGATAAGCTTCGGCTCGCGATGCACTCGGTTTCCCTCCAGTGACGAAAACGTTACCCGAGAACAAGAAGCACAAACAGCGACGCAACCAAGGGGGCCAAAAGGACATTCAGAATCACGGAAAGCAGGTACGCCGGATTGATCAGATCCGGTATCCCATGACTGAGGTAGCTTCGTTGAGTGCGGTCCCTCAGTCATGCCGCACTCCCCTGCTGACAAACATGGTCACGTCGAGAAAGGTGGTGTCAGGGTACATCTGACACTCCGCACACACACACGCCCCTCCAAGAGGGGCGAACACTCTTTTTGCATCCTGAAGACCACATATGAAGCTGCCTAGTGTCAACCAAAAGGTCCTCAGTGTCCTCAGCGGCAAGGAGAACGTGAATTTGCACGCTCTGTACGGTGCCGCTCAGAAGGCGGGGACACAGGATCACCAAATCGAGCAGGAAATAGTCCGCCCCTTTGTTTTGCAGTTGGCAAGACTGGCAGAAGGAACAGCGAAGATTGATGGGCGGTATCTGTCAGAGGTGGGGCGTAGGTGAAGAGGTCCAGCAAGGTTCGATCATGCTGAGGAAGACCACTCTGAGATGCACCAAGCTGTTCCACCTGGATGGAGATGTCCGGGTTGCGCTCACCATCACGCGTTTCATTCGAGGCATTATTGACGGAAAAGGACTTGTGCCGGGACAATATCCGTTGGTAGCCTCGAATCCTGAATGGACTAAGCTTCGTGGTGATGATGCGATTGGTGGCCCCGCTCAGATTGCCAATCGTCATTGCCTTGAGCTTCATCCTGTAGTGGGACCGCCGGCTTCCAAACACGAAACGCGCCATCCGGCAGAGCAGGGACGTCATCATTCTGGCGCCATAGCTGAGGTTCACCAGGAGTGTAGACCTTCACCCATTCTTGTCCCTGCCGGGTCTGGGCTGCAGCATCAATTTCCATGTTGCGGTGGAGGAAGGATTGCACCACGGTATCCGATCCAGCTAAGAGCGCAAAGGAAACAGCAAACTTGCACAACGAGCAACACACAAGCAAGCAAGACATCAAGAAAACGCCATTTTGCAGCACGACCCGAATCCGTCTGTCTACTCAGCAACTAGTTCGAAAATGGACTTCTCGTTGACGTTCAAACTGCAAGGGCGGTCTGTGGGCATGTAGGGCTCAGCGAGTCCAACAGATTCAGGCTGAAGCAGATCGGCGCCTTAGGCATGGATGCTTGGCGCGTGCGATCCGCAAGTTGTTGGCTGATCCCTGCCTGCACACGGGTGAGAAAGAGCTGTGGAGAAGGTAGAAGAATCGGAGAATCGAAGGATCGCATCCAACACCTGCGGGGAAATAGTCAAGACTGATGACTGTGTGGCCACGCTGCGCTGATCAGGGTGTGGAATCGAAGCGGGGTCCTTGTCCAGCTCCGGAGCATAGACACGCCTGTAGCCTTCAGTGGCCCAGTCCCGTTTGTACCATGCGTGAACAGTGGATTGAACGCCATCTTGGAAGTGAACTCGACTACGGAACATCTTCCATTCCCTGTACGTATGACGTGGAGGAGGTTCATCGTGCTCTGCATGCAGCGTCCATGTACCTGGATGAAAGACCTTGACCCATTGAGGGTCCGGTTGGTGAGGATCAGGGCACCACTCCAACCACGGCATGACAACGCAAGCCCCTAAACGCACAACCGAGAACTACACGGCTGCAGGCAACGAACACTTCATGCCATGTGTCACCGAACATGCCAGTCAAACGCAACACACTCAATCAAGCACTAACAGCAAATGCAGCGCCGAACGTAGCGGTTTGTAGCCAGAAGCAACTCGGGCGTCGATGTCACTCGCCCCAATCAAACTCAGGATCATAGGGAGGCGAAGGAGGTCGCCAACCACCATCGGAGACCGAGGATGCCGATGAAGAAGACAATCCAGCGTACATGAGGTCAGGCGATCCCAAAGGGAAAGCGGGCCGTGCTGTGCTCGGGTGTGGATTGCCGAGTCGTTGGTATCCTCTAGTGCACCAGTCACGATATTGCCATGTATAAAAGGACGCATAGGAGACCGGCTGGGTGAAGGAATCCAGAGTATGCCTCCCGTGCTGTCACAAGGCCAATACACTTCAAAATGGTAGAACCTGCACCGTTCCCGATGGGTAGATGGGTCCCCCGGAGCCGGTCCTTCACACTGGGCTCGGAATTCACGAGCGTCATGCGCAGGGCCATGGTATTGTAGCCACGTGGGATGCGCTCCATGAGTCCAGGTGATGAACGTCTGAACATTTTGCTCCATCATGTCTTGATCCATCATGTCTGCATGCAAAACAATGCAAGGAGGAAAGACCTGACACAACACGCAACACTCAACAATATTTTCACGGCAGAGTCCGCAAGGGCTCAGGGAGTCTAGCTGCGTGCCTCAAGTCGTTGGTATACCTACCAGGCCTGCTTGACTTCATCTGTACTCTTCTGGAGGGAACGGGCAATGGTCTTGTAGGTGGGCCTCGCACCCTTGTCCTTTTCCCGCCGGACCATCTCATCCAACTCCCCTTGCGTCCATGCCGTAAAAGGTTCATGGTAAGCATTGCGAAGTGCTGTCGTGAACTCTTGCAGAAGTTCACGAGGACCATGCACCACGGTGGGAGACGGGCGAAACGACGACGCCCCTCGGTGAGGACGGGTCGAGTGGTCCGAATCAGAGGGTAGAGGTACGGGTCCGCGGTTGACGTTGGCCGTGGCTGGCGCAGTCATTCTGGGCGGAGGGAGGTGGGCAACGAGGTCAGTCCTGGGCGTACCTCCTGGTCGTAAGTCATGCTCAACCCCTGTACCTCTGGACGTTCATGACGAGGAGGAGATAGCACCGGCACATACCACGTTGAGGATGTGTCTACAGGCCGAGTCCTGGTACGTGGTGGCGTTTGGGACCGGTCGGATGTGATGTGTTTCGTGATGCGTGGCCGCATACCATGTCGCGAATTGCGTGGTTGCCGAGGTGTCATCCTAGCATCGGACTCCGCATTCCGATTGACTGCGAGGGCAAAGTTCAGGGTGTCCAGAGATGTTGAGATTTGAGAAGCAAGAGCATCAAGCACCACAATCAGGTTGTTCACGAACTCCGCGGACAGCCACATGGCAACCGTAAGCAACGAAAAGACAACTCAAGCAATGAATGGCTGCGAGAAAACACAAATGGGAAGAATGATGTACAGACCCGCTGCGCGAGAGAGCCGAATGTCTTATGCCTGGCACCAATCATCAGCGGCCTCGAGGCAATCCGGCCGGACGGCATGCTGGCATAGCTTTCACTGCTGGAGGAGCTTTCGGAAAAGCACTTCGGTGTTCTGTGGCTGGCAGGAGTACACGACGGGTGAACGGCCTCCTTTGGCGACTTCGGCTCCGAGAACGATGACGACGTATGTCACGTCTTCTTGACCTTCTCCTCCGACTGTGTTCCCTGGGGCACTGTCACTAATGGGCTCAGTGGGATCACCTTCGGCCCGATTCGTAGAAGTGGCCACCAGTGTGATGGGCATGGAAGTGAACGATGTCCTCGTTGTTGATGCCTTCGGCGACACTGGTGCCGGTGTCAGAAGAGGAGGTGGCAGCGGTGGCAGCGTAGAATTGAAAGGCTCCGAGGTCGCATGAGGCGGTGCTGGCGCCACAGGCACAGTAGGCACAGTGGGCACAGCAGGCACAGCTGGAGGAAGCGGTGGCTGTAAGTGTCGGTGGTGTCCTTCAACGCGCTGTAGTCCAGCCAGCAATATACTGAGCTGCGACGAGATGGCGTGCAGCAGGTGACGACAATCTCGTAAAAGGTCCCCATGATCCATGTCAGGTGAGGCTAAAAGCTGGCAATGAATCAGTGAAACGGTGAAAGCAGCTGCAAGCGTACAATGAGATCAAGCACCCTCATGCGTGTAAAACCTGCAAGTACTCAACCCATCAAGAACAATCGGTACATGATTCAATTTTCCCGGAAGATCACTCGAAGCAGCAGGAAGCGTCATGATTGAGATCACGAAAAGTCATCGGCTGCAAACTGCACCTTGTAGCTTCATAGAGGCCGTGGAACCATCGCCGCGCTGACAGCGTGGAAACGAGAAAGCCAAGGAAGCGGTCACCAAAACATCCCTACGTAGCTGGGAACAGCAATCGAAGACCGAAGTTTCCACCTCCCATCTTTGCTGTGGATGCAATCATAGTAATGAGAGGCAGCGATGTCAGCGTAGGTGCCGCCTCTTGGGACCATGCAATGATCCTGGCGCAGGCGTGTCTTTCCTCCGATGCAGAGGGGACGTGAAGAGCGAATCCCTCCAAACTGCGCGGCGGATTTCACTGCAGCATCATTGGATTGGAGGCTCCCTCTGCAATAGAAGCCCATCGGCGGGATCCACACATAGTTCCAGTTGGTGCACTCTTTGTTCGGAGATGGGGCCACCAGCCATTTCGAACGTCGGATGAGTTCGTCGTCTTTCAAGACGCAGATGGCGGAATTGATGTCTGTGTTGTGC